CGCCTGGAAGGGGGGCCCCTTTTGCCTTTTTTTTTTTTTTTTTTTTTTTTTTTTTTCCTTTTTGTCTTTTTTTTTTACTGACCAGTAACGGGATTGCAACCCTCGGTGTCGCGCCCGCACCGGGGACCGGCAATGGGATCGCAACCCTCGGTGTTGCGCCCGCACCTCGCTCAACCAGTGAGCGGGAACCGGTCTCCACATGGGATCCAAACCCTCGGTGGGAGCGCCACCGCACTCCCAAGCGGCGCACTCTACAGTGCGCCACCGGGCCGGCCCCCCTTTAGCATTTCTTGTCGGGCAAATCTAGTAGTATAGAGTGCCCTTAGCTTCCGTTTATCTGGGAATGTCTTAATTTCTCCTTCATTCTTAAGAGGATAGTTTTGACAGATTTTTTATTTTTATTTTTTTTAGCACTTTAAATATTTTGTCCCACTGCTATATAGCCTTCATAGTTTCTGATGAGGAATTAGCTGTTAATATTTATTGTAGTCTGTTCTGTTATATATGCAGTCATTCTGTGCCCTAATAAAGATTTCCTTAAATGTCTGGATCTGGGCGTGTGTGTGTGTGTGTGTGTGTGTGTGTGTGTGTGTTGTGTCTTCCTTCTTAAATCTTGTGATAGATGCCACTAGGGAAGCCACTGTAGCCATAGTGGGCTAAAACAAAACTGTGCAGGTCTGCTAGTCTGGCCAACATGAACAGCCTCAAATTTTTGGAGGACAAGTTCCTTATTGTCTACCCTGGCACCAACCAGCTGCTCTGGGAATGCAGGCTACCTTCTCACAGGCTGTGGCAGGGCTGAGGAATGGGGGATTTGCACATGCCGCTCTCTTCTGAGGTTCAGCAGTCTCCCTTTATCAAGCACTCTCTCAGTTGCTGTGTCTGTTTGATCAGCTTCCAGCATTCTGAAATAGTGATTCTGATCACTTGTCCAGCTCCTTGGTTGTGTTGGTGGAGGGACCAACCCCTAGAGCTTCCTATTCCACCATTTTCCATAACCTCATTTATGTCTTATTTATTTTTGTAGAACTGTTTTTAAATGTCTTATTCTCAGTCATTTAGAATTCCACAACAGATACTTGAATTTTATAAGGAAAAGATGGATTCTCCAATTAATGATGTTAGGAAAATAACCATTTTAAAGGGAAAAGAACTGGTTCTCAACCTTATTCCTTATGCCGCAATAAACTGTGTGTATTAAAGGTTTAAATGCTTTTCTTAAAATGGTAACAGAAAAAAAACCTAATTCATTCTTTTTTATTTTTTAAAATAATTTTGTGGTTGGGAATGCCCTTCTATGTCTAGCCCAAAACTCTGGAGCCATAAAAGCAAAGGATGGTTATTTTTTTTTTTTCCTTTTTGTCTTTTTTACTGACGGGTAACAGGATCGCAACCCTTGGTGTTGCGCCCGCACCACGCTCAACCAGTGAGCGGGAACCGGTCTCCACATGGGATCCGAACCCTCAGCGGGAGCGCCACCGTGCTCCCAGGCGGCGCACTCTCCAGTGCACCACCGGGCCGGCCCAAAGGATGGTTATTTTACATAAATTTCATTGTGGCAGGAAATTCTAAATCAGTCAGCTAACTGAAAAAAAAAATGCAGTATAGGATACAGTTAATTTGCTGAATTTACCAAAAAAATTAGAAAACCCTACAAATCAATAATATTAATTGCCCAGTTTATGTGAGCAAAGGATATGACTGATAATTTATAGAGGAAAAAAATCTAAATGATCTGTAAACATAAGTACAGAGTATCAGTCTCATTCATAATTAAGGAAATGCAAATCAAAACAGCAGTGAATCGTGGATTATTCACTTAGGAGATTTGCATACTTTTTTTTTTCCTTGTTTAAGACATTATTTACTGCTGGTAAGGGTGTGACTAGGTACAAGCTTTCTGGAAAGTAGATTGGTAATATATGTCAGAGTGTCAAATGCATAGTCCTTTGACCCACAATTCCACTGGTAAAAATTACCCTATAGATATTTCCTAAGGTATGCCAACATAGTTTCACACAGATATTCATTGCAGCATTGCTTGTAATTTCAAAAACCCAGTTAATGAAATTCTGTAAGAAGAGAACTGCTTAAATTCTGGTACCTCCATATAACAGGAAGCTATTTGGCCATTAAACAAAAAGAGTTAGCTCTTTTTGTTCTAATGTGGGAAGATCTCTAAGATATATTAAGTGACAAAAGCTAAGTGTAAAATAAAATGTAGGTAATGAACCTATTGGGGATATATATGGTTCACTCAGACATATGCAGAGAAGTTTCTAGAAATACATACAGGAGTTTGTTAATAGTGATTTCCTTTGAGGGAGGCTAGGAATAAATGATGGAGAAATATTTTTTACACCTTTTTGTAAATTTTTTTACGTGTGCATCTATTCTCCTCTCCTTTTTCAAGTAGCTTAAAACAAAATTCTACAGCAGCGAGATCTAGCAGAGAATCTGTTCAGTCAGATGTAGTTCTCAGAATTTGCATACCTTTAGTTTATACTTTATATACTCTCAACTTTTCCTTTTGAAATTACAAATATCTAGTTTATTTCATGACCTCTTTTTTTTTTTTTTTTGTCCTTTTTGAGACCGGCTGCACCGCGCTCAGCCAGTGAGCGCTGTGAGCACACCAGTCATCCCTATATAGGATCTGAACCCACGGCGGAAGCGCTGCTGCACTCCCAGCGCTGCTGCACTCCCAGCGCCGCACTCTCCCGAGTGCACCACGTGCTCGGCCCTTTTTGTTTTAAATTATTATGAAATGTTTTAAGATGTATGCAACCATGAATTAACATGTCATTCTAAAATCTCTGTCTTTTAAAATCATTCATAACTATGGCATGTTGACATCTTCTTAGAGGAGGCAGAGTGCTGTGGTAGGAAAAATATGTGGCTTTGAAGTCATACAGACCTGGATACACATCTCAACTTAATAAAAAGTAGTAGCTTTTAACCTTGGGAAAGTTACTTAAAATAGCTGAACTTAAATTAATATCAAGCCATACATTTGCAGAATTATAAAGGTTAAGTGAAAAAGGTGTACAGTCCCTGGTATATAGTAATTACTCCAGAAACATTAATTTCTTCTCTTGTCATCTCTCCCTGTCCCTCAAAGATGACTGTTAGTCTTTGGGTTGTCTGGTTCTTATCTTATACTTTGAAAACTTGGTATTTAGCGATGTTTGCATGTAGCATTAGATCTTCAGTCTAAGGCTGTCCCAACTGAGCTATTTTGGCTACCTGCACATGTATTATTAGAGCAAGGTGACAAATAGCAGTGATAAATCCATTTGAGTATTTTTGTTTGCTTTAATTTATCATGGGATTATAGGACATGGGCACGATCTCTAGCAGAGTTCATTGTGAGTGCTATTGATAGGAATCGTCTCTAATCCTTGACTAACAGCCACAGAATATTTTTACAGTAACAACACAGGTGATCCTTTTTTCTTTCTTATAACTAACTCCTAATTGAGTCTGTTCAGTAGCAGGGACAATATTTACTATCCTCTTTGGTCTATAACTCTTTAAACGGTTTGGAGACCACTAGATAGAATACCTCACCTTTCAGTTTCATTCTGCTTCACATCAAGAGAAGTTCCTAAAGGGCTAAAATTCTGACAGCAGCTAGAGAAACCTGTATTGTTCAGGGCCTCAGCAAGTGCACCCCTTTAGTGCTGAAAGACCAAAGGCACGGTTGCCCTCGCCCCAGCGCCTCAGCCCCCTTGCCGCTCATCCCCTCAATGGACTCTAGTCTAGCAATCTCTTTCCAATCCCTTGCAATTGCCAGATTCATTCCTGCCTCAGAGCCTTTACATATGCTTTTCCCTCTTCCCACAATTCTCTTCTCACTCCCTCACTACAATTTGGCAAATGTGAGTTGAATCTGAGGCTTAACAATTTTATTGTTTTGATACATATCGTGTTTGTTTTGACAAGAAATATTTACTCTGTTTTACTTAGGGGATTTGTATAGCTTACAAATCCAATCGCTGTGGATTCTTTGCTCTCATCTAGAGGCAGAGGCAAAATCAAGAGTTAATACCACGAAGAGTGGTGGGTGGCACACTCACATCTGTAGCCTTGCTCTGGGGAATGAATCCTCCACCCACTTGTGCTGTGCCCACAGGCAAGGGGCCTTTATGGAACTTTGGAACTTGTCTTAGTTTTCTTAGTGGTGGAGAAGGGGATAGAATAAGTTCCTCTTTGGGCTGGAATTAGTACTGATTTTTCTTTCTCTTGTAGCACTGAACAAGATTTGTGATGAAATGGAGCCTGGAACAAACTCTTTTCGAGTAGAATTTCCTGATTTTTCTAGCACCATTCTGCAGAAACTGAACCAGCAGCGCCAGCAAGGACAATTATGTGACGTCTCTATTGTTGTCCAAGGGCACATTTTCCGGGCACACAAAGCTGTTCTTGCTGCTAGTTCACCCTACTTTTGTGACCAGGTACTCCTGAAAAACAGTAGGAGAATTGTTTTGCCTGATGTGATGAACCCAAGAGTGTTTGAGAACATTCTCCTGTCTAGTTATACAGGACGTCTAGTAATGCCTGCTCCAGAAATTGTCAGTTACTTAACAGCAGCAAGCTTCCTCCAGATGTGGCATGTGGTAGACAAATGCACTGAGGTTTTAGAGGGAAACCCTACAGTCCTTTGTCAGAAGCTAAATCATGGCAGTGACCACCAGTCTCCAAGCAGCAGTAGTTATAATGGCCTGGTAGAGAGCTTTGAGCTGGGATCTGGGGGCCATACTGATTTCCCCAAAGCCCAAGAACTGAGGGATGGTGAGAATGAAGAAGAGAGCACCAAAGACGAGTTGTCATCTCAGCTCACCGAGCACGAATACCTGCCTAGTAATTCGTCCACAGAGCATGACCGGCTGAGCACTGAAATGGCGAGTCAGGATGGCGAGGAGGGAGCCAGCGACAGCGCTGAGTTCCACTACACCCGGCCCATGTACAGTAAGCCCAGCATCATGGCTCACAAACGCTGGATCCACGTGAAGCCCGAGCGCTTGGAACAGGCTTGTGAGGGCATGGACGTGCATGCTGCCTACGACGAGCACCAGGTCACTGAGTCCATCAATACCATGCAGACAGAGCACTCAGTCCAGCCCTCAGGAGTGGAGGAGGACTTTCACATCGGGGAAAAAAAAGTGGAAGCAGAGTTTGACGAACAAGCTGATGAAAGCAATTATGATGAGCAGGTGGATTTCTATGGCTCTTCCATGGAGGAGTTTTCTGGAGAGAGGTCGGATGGGAATCTAATTGGGCACAGACAGGAGGCTGCCCTCACAGCAGGCTACAGTGAGAATATCGAAATGGTAACAGGAATTAAAGAAGAAGCTTCCCACTTAGGATTTTCAGCCACCGACAAGCTGTATCCTTGTCAGTGTGGGAAGAGTTTCACTCACAAGAGTCAGAGAGATCGGCACATGAGTATGCACCTCGGTCTTCGGCCTTATGGCTGTGGTGTCTGTGGCAAGAAATTCAAAATGAAGCACCATCTCGTGGGCCACATGAAAATTCACACAGGCATAAAGCCATATGAGTGTAATATCTGTGCAAAGAGATTTATGTGGAGGGACAGTTTCCACAGGCATGTGACTTCTTGTACCAAGTCCTATGAAGCTGCAAAGGCTGAGCAGAATACAACTGAGGCTAACTAAAAATAGGATCTGGCCCTTGAGTGGCATGCACAAAAATAAACTATGGTAATTAATGCAAATCTGGGCACAGATGATGTGTGCTACTTGCTATTATGAGAAGCTTAAGGAAAAAAGGAAGATATTTCTGAAAGACCAGCTCTAAGTAGGCCAATTAAAAAATCTAATTCCTCAAATTTGTGTGTTTCAGTCCTAGCCTGGAATGGGTAATGGGGGTGAGTTAACCCACTGCCCAGCTGGCAAGGTAAACCTTTAGGCCATTTGTAATTGAGGCAGGTGGACTTGGCAGTAGAAACACCTGCATTTGGAACTGGACTTCAGCCCACCAGTTCCACTTCAGGTGGCAGCAGTTTTTGATCACTTATTATTTTATTTTGCTCTTCTTATAGATACTTAGGTAATGTGGATTTGTTTTGGTAGCTGCTTCACTGAATGAAATGCTACTTATGTAAAAGCTACATATAATGTGATTCCCTAGGTTGAGAAATTAACAAAGCTCTGCTGTCTGGTTTTATACTTTCTAAAGAGTATTTTAACTAAAACTACAGAGATACTAAGAGGGTGACTCTAAGTATGAAACAACTTATGGTACAAACTTCAATTTCTGTAGAATGCCGCTGTCACAATGTGTTTCAGACTCTTGATAAGGCAGAGTTTTGTATTTTAGTACTAACATTGAGTCTGAACAGTTGTATCTAATTGTAATTCTCTAGAGTGCCAGAGATAGATATTTCTAATTGGTTTGCTGTCCCAAATCCTGTTTGTCTAATTGTAGCATCCACACAGTGGGATATACTCTATGGCTAGTAGACTTCTAGCCCGCTGTGATTCTGATCATGGTACCATTGGCTGCTGCAGCCATTGCTCTGTCTTAGATTATGGTGCTGCCCAAAGAGGCTGTCAGTGACCACAGTTAGTAGGAAGGAGCCAGAAGTCATGGATGAGACTTATGTGTGAACTTTAGGAGTTCATAGAGTGCTACAGTGACATTCCAACTGTCAGAGTGAGAACTATGGAGAAGCAGCATTTTATGAGTGGCAGGTTGTACTTCAGGGGAAAAAAATTGCAAAGGAGAAGAAGAAAGAGTCTTGAAAGTACACTGGTGGGGCAGGGCAGGGATACTCTTTTAGAGGGGTTCACTGAGCTAATACTGCCAGTTCTTCATGAGCTCTGGACTGTGTTTTCAAAGAGAGAAAGGAGTCTTAATTTTAGCAAAGTAGTTTACAGACTCATGTTCCCAAATTATAGATAAAGCTGCATAAATTTACAAGTCCACATAACTGTACCTACCAAAACAAGAAAAGCAGCTGTTCTGAGACCTTTTCTGCCTATCAGTCAGATGTTTTAGGTTAAAAAGAAAGCATATATGCAGAATGCTTTTAACCGAGGTTATTACGAGGGTAGGACAGGGTGCTACTATTATGTCATCTTTTTCGTAAACTTACTGGTCTATTCTCAGTAGAAACTTTTTTTCTTTAAAATAAAAATAATTTTTCTTGTATTTGGGGTGAAATTTTGTTTTAAAAGATTGGCTTTGCTCTAATGTGATAGACATTGCTGGCACTGGCCTCTGATCCTCAAGCTCCTAACACCAAGGTGTTTACTTGTTGAACATTGTCTGGAAAGGGGAAAGAAAATACTTATTTACCAGTTAACTCTTGTAATCAAGATTACAAAACAGGGATCTATTTACTAACACTGTATCATTCTTGATATATAAAAAGCACTTTGTATTTAAAACTTTATAATATATATATATATATATATATATATTGTTTTTTTTTTAACCTAGAAACTAGAAATTACCTCTTGGTTGTTTGCCACATTAATATCATCTTCTCTTAGTGTTGCACCTTCACCAGTTAACAGTCCTTTCTCTGTGTTCCTGACAAAAGTGTAGAGGTGACTGTACAATCAAGCTCAATTGCTCCTCTTTTTCTCATGTTAGAGGCCAGTGGATTATTGGTATGATCCTAGCCATTGTGTGTGAGGAGAAATTGTTTCATTACCCTTACTAATTTTAGTACTAAGGCAGGAAGCCATTTTGTTCTGCCCAGAGCTGATTACCCTCTCCTATGGTGTTAGCAAAGCATTTTCTGCCTGTTTGAAGGTTTGATGTGCTGTGTTCCATTAAAGATTATATTCAAATGAGCATTGGGTCATTTGGAGAAAAGAGTCTGAGAGGGAAGGTAAAAGTATTCTGGGAAAATCATGGTCCTTCAATTATGCTGAAATTAGCACAGCCCCCTTGTCATGAGACATAACGAAGAGCATTTGTTCACCCAGGAGTGGTGACCGGCCCTTGGGTACTGGTGGCTTTGGAAGCAGTCAGTTAGGCTGGGACTTAGTTAATGTGTCATGAAGAGAGGAATGTCTTTTAGTGAAATCCTTATATATACATCAGCTACTAAATGTAGAACTTAAATTTAAGTTCCTCATATCTGCTGATTGAAGTTTTTTGTAATAGTTGGAGTTTTGGTAAAAATCGGGGTTGCTCATCAGGTAAGCCACACCTTGTGAAATGGTTGGGTGTCTGTAATGCTGGCCATGTTCCGAGTCAGAAGGGGATTGCCTTCATTTGGATATTAAAAGTGAATTTTTATAAGTTCTGCTATTAAGGATTAAGAGATCATACTGCATTACTACCTTTTTTTCTCCCCACTCTGAGTTGGAGTGGTAGTCTCTCCCCTTAGCCTCAGTACAGCTTTAGAAAATCTTTATCCTTCCAAACAAGTTTGGATAGTTGTAACATTTTCCAAACGGTCTTTCAGGGATTGGTCTCTTCAGTGACCTACAACCAAGGTATTTGTCCCCTACTTTGAGTCTTAACTGTGGTTTTTCTCCAGTGGGAAAGGGCTTTGAGGCACCACCAATGGTATTTAATATTTGTATTTATACCATGCCTTTAATTTTAGATATACACATAACAGTAATCCACTGGTAAGTAGTCATCACCATCTAACTAAAGGAGGACAGGACACGGACTGTGATGACTTGTCCTCCGCCTTTGTGGGCTGCCCTCAGGCGCTCCCGGGCCCCAGCCTGTTGGTTCTGATTGCTGCATCTCACCTTCCTCCATCCCTTTTGGCCACTACTTTAAAAGAGTCTGTCCAAAAGGGTCCCCTCCATTCTAGGGGGCGTTTGCTGAGCTAAACTGACCGTACACCGGCTTCTAGCTATTTGGGAAGCCGCTTAGTTTCAGTGGCTCCTTCCTACACCCCTAAGCTGCTGTGGAAGTGAAGCTGAGGCACAGCAGAAGCAGCAGAGCAGTCTGTTCCTGGGGAAGGGGGTGTGCTACAGCCACCTGGGCAGGGATGGAGAGGGCACCATCACAACAAATCCAGGTGTTTGCTTTCGTAAGGTCTGCTAACTTAGGAGTGCTGGAAACCAAGCAACATAGTACCCCCAACCCCCTTCTGTGCCACTAATTTTGTGATTTAGGTTGCTTTCATGAGTGACTAATTTTGTTCAGTGAAACCAGGGTTTGTTTCAGTTTTTTTCTTTGCTACTTATATATTTAAAGGTACAAGTTTCTTATTTCAAATCTCTACTGATAGTGCCCTATGGGAAGATGCTGGAACACATTTTGCAAATGTGACCCTTTTTAAAAAAAATTTTGCTTGAAGCCTGTGTCATGTCAGTTGCTGCTGCCTTCTTTCTTTTTATGAGGTTCCCAATGTTTCTTCTAGAAAATTATTTATGCAAGTCAGGTGACTCTTAGGCCACAAAACCATTTGATGATAAACAGATTATCATTAGGTGCATTTCTTATTGATATTTTGTGAAATGTTATGCCTGTGTTGCAAAAGTTGAATAGTTTTGTCTTTATATATTGCTGTCTTCAGTGTACAGCATGGTTTTACTTAATTGTTACTGTTTAATATTTTCTTCTTATAGAAGAGACCATGCCCTTTTGTATGACATGTTTTAATAAATGTTATCTGTCAAATTTGTAAAAGTTTTGTTTTTCACTCCAAATGACCACGTCTTGTTTTCATTCTGGCTTTTGCCCCCAGAGAATAAAGTTATATTGTGGCTTTTCGATAAGTAAATGCCAAGTAGTCTGATCAAATGGACAATAAGTGACTGTTTACTGTGCCAGGATTTATAATCATTACCTCATTTTAAAACCCCACCAACTCCATCAGGTATTTAAGAGAGCTTGATATTCCCTGTGTGCTTCTCTGGGTCCCTTCCTTACCCTGGAGCAATTCGCTCCAGGAGGCTGGCCTCTGTGGACCTGAGCTCCTGGCTTCTGGTCCGGATCTCCCAGAGACACTCGGAGAAGCTTGACAGATGAGAGAAGTTGAGGAATTCACTCCCCTGGCTTCCTTCTGCCAGCTGTGGGTTGGCAGTGGCTGGGCTCTTCTGCCAAGGACCACAGCTCCTGTCAGGTGACTTCTGGAATTTGGTGACCACACCCTCCCCTGTCTCTTCAAGCTAAGGCTTGGCCTCCCTCCCTGCTTGTGCCAGCCCTCAGGTGCCCCCGTGTCCTCCATGGAGTCCCTTAACCCTGCCCACACCCTTTGTTAATAGTCCCCCTATGAAACTCTCCTCGGTCACCCCTCTGAGTATGCGACTGCTTCCTGCCAAGACCCCAGCTGACACCTTTGGTGTCCTCATTTCACAGATGAGCCGGCCATGATTCAGAGAAGGCAGGTATGTCACTGAAGGTGGTTCAGCAGCTGCAGAGTGCAGCTGAGATTCAAGTGCAGGACTTCACCGCTGCCACACCTGGTGGTGGGTTTTTCCACCACTGTTTAATAATGCCTCCATGCTCTTCAGTTGGGTCTTTGCCTCACCTCACTTTATCCTCCCCCATCCCCTGCAAAAAACCCAGAAGCAGCAGCAGCAGCAGCAGCAACAGCAGCTCTCTTTCAAAGACTGCAGGCACTGAGGGCCCCATGTGTTTCCTAACAACAGCTCTACCAGAGACACTGCTTGTTTTAGACCAAACCGAACCACCTTCCCACACAAACCTTCTGTTACCAATGTTTGTTGTCAGGTTTTCCCCCTCCCCGATGCTGATTTAGAAGCCAACTACAGATTGCTTCAGCTGGCTTAGCCAATTCTCTTTATGGGGAAGAAGTCACCCAGAACAACTATTTCTAGCCTTTATTTGAGGCAGGGCCTGTCCATCCTGAGCATGGACAAGCAGCTCAGCTTCTGTGGCATGGTGACACCTCTGACCCCACTTTCACCCTTCCTGGGGACCCTGCCAAGGCCTGGTTACCAGTGGCCCAGAGGTGCCCACCCAGAAAGTGGGTCTCTACAAAGCATACATCTCCCCAGCGGTGGGGACTGATGCGGGTAAAAGTGAGCAGTATTGTGGTCCCAGGGAGGAAAGGGTAAGATGAAGTAGCTTGTCTTTGGGAACAGAAGCGGGTGGGACATGAGGGGTGCTACTTGCATGGAGTATGTAACACCTGTGCAGTTTATTAACTTTCCTCACAGTTCAGGGACTGCTCTTCCCACCAAACCACCAAAGCATTCCTTGAGACAGCCCCATCCCTGGACATCTTGGAGAGTACACAGGTCAGCAATTGTGAATGAGGTAAGCTTGAACTTGCTGTAACAGGTATTACTTGGTGAATGGTTTTAAATATGTTCTTTCTCAGTGCAGATAAATGAAAGATAAGAACTCCGTGCCCTTCCTTCCAGCTCTTTTCCTTACGTTCTCTTTAAGAATGCTCTGTGTTTAAAAGTTCAGTGAATGAACATGGGCACAAACAGCACTGTTTTCCCTAAGGAGAAACCAGAAGCGGGGTGGTGAGTAGAGGAAGTCTCATCGTCTTTTCTGAACTGGTTTGACTAGTTTGAATCAAAACCAAACAATTTGATTTTAAAATCTTGTACACTTTTAATTTCATCCAAACAGATAAGCCACTTGACCCTTGCCAGTAGTTTGGTACAATTACAGGAGAGTTACAGTTGTCTTTTAAGAAGTATGTGGACTCCATAAAAAAAGATAATTCATAAGCAACATTGTAGGTAAATACCTGTTATAAAAAATAGTGACTTTCTACTTAGACTCTAGTGATCATGAGTTCTATTTTTTTCTTCCTATTCCAAAGTAAGAAACCAGTACCGAAGTCATTAAATGTATTTATAACTTAATAAGATACTAGTTACTCCCCAGAGTATGCTGGTCGCCCTGATATAACAGCTAACCTTTATTAATGGAAGCTAAAGGCTGCCTCTAGAACTGCCCCTGTCTTGTTAATTTGGGGTCAGCAATGCTGTGATAAAATCTCACTTATTATGGCTCTGAAAAGATCCTCAACTGCTCAACACT